TAATGTAATGACAGTAAATTTTTATTTAAATAAAGTCTCGCATTTAATGCCCATTCGCGATAAAAAAAAAAAAAAAAATTGAAAAGTATTATTTGAAATATTATGATTGTTAAAAATCTTTGTTAATGAAATAATATAATTGTTCTTATAATATATTTTTAATAATACATGTATATACTGTATACTATATTTATTATAATAAATCAAATAAAAATTTTTTTAACAAAGATAACAAGTATTTTATAATTATATAAATAAAAAAAAAATTAAGAAGTAATAACTGGATTAAAACAAAGATTTATCATTTTTTAATCGAACATACAGTATATTACGTACAGTATTATATAAGATGATTAGAAAAAATAATTTTCAAACTGGATTAAAACAACAATTTATCATTTTCTAATCAAACATACAGTATATTACGTACGGTATTATATAAGATGATAAAAAAAAATACTTTATTTAATTAAAACAAAACAAATATTTTAGAGTATATAGTCAATAGTGATAATTTATGCTTTGTATAAAGAAAACTTTCGTCCAACATTTAATATACATTTTTAAATTCTTAATTCTAATGATAATATTCATATTTTTGTATGAATTTACGCTTACACAATAAATTATTTTATAGAGGAATATTATGCAAAAAAAGAATATACTATTGCAATAGCATTCTACGTTGATCCAATTATAATTAAATTTCTGGATTAAAAAATAATTTAATCTATCATTTTACGATGCTGCAGTTGAACTTTTTATTTCAAAAGCGGGTTAGAAATAACTATTCATCATCACTTCCCAATAATTCTGCAAGTTCTTTCTCCTCCTCTTCAGTGAGCATTACCTCCTTTTGAGAAACAGACACCTCAGTTTTTACTTGACTTCCAACTTCCTCATCTTTTTTTGGGTTAATGATGTCTTTGTGCCAAAAAAAAGTTATCAATGATAACTCTGTTATTAATAACATAATCACATGTCGAAGCTTACATACCAACGAGTAACCACTTTCTTATGGTACAGTCCAATGAACCGGTATACAATGTAGTTCCTCTAATCGCCATGCAAGAAACCTCGTCAAAGTGACCTTCAATCTCACAGATTAACTTCCCACTCTATTAAAGAAAATGATCGTTTGATTTGTGATGGCGTGCCGAAATACGATGTGTTTAAATGAACGAACCCCAATATCAAAAATTCGAATCATCTCATCACGAGAACCCGTGATAACATATGATCCGAAAAATGCAATGCATTTAACAAAATCTGGATGATCAAAACTCGTATCCGGTTTTCCAGTCTGGTCAAATAAATTCGTTAAAACTGGGTACGTGAAGAATTTTGATATTCGTGTTTGTCGTAACCTTTTTAACTTACTATCAGGTCCCATCTTTTGACCGTCATGTCAGCCGAGGCTTTTAAAAGAAACGAAAGTTTTCATTGTAGCTGAAGTATTATTGACACGGTTTAACAAGGGGAATCCTTTTAAAATACCTGTCCACATCTCCTCATCAAAAACCTTTAAAGAATATATGCTGGTGAGGTGTCCTTCGAATACTTGCAAACACTCTGCAGTTAGAGGATTCCATTTCATCACCAATCTGTCCGAGGATGCAGAATATAAAAAATTTTCTCCTTCGTCAAAGGCGAGGTCCTCGATGCCCCTTTTGTGACCCTTGAACACTTGCAACGGTTTATCGGTGAGAAGATCCCATGAACGGATATCCTGATCCGAGGAGCCAGAGTAAAGCCTAGATCGTGTGTGTGAAACAACCAGGGACTTTACGAAATCTGTGTGATAGGTAAAAGTAACAAGGGATTCTTTGCTCTACAAAGTTTTTGATTGCACTACAGGTCAAACAAGAAAAAATCATGGATAAGAAATAAGAAGAATAGATCGGCAGGTTACCTCAACATCAAACTTTCTGAGTGTTTTGTCCCAAGATCCGGTAATGAGATAAGCCGCTCCGTCCTTATACCACAAGGCAAGGCAAGTGACTGGACCATTGTGTCCGCTGAATGTCCCTACGGTCTTACCAGTCTACGGTACGAAAATAGACGAAGTCCTATTTCGTAAATTCAGTAGGATCCTTACTTATTACAACATTTGAACGTCATACCAACAAATTCTTCTTTCTTGCGATGAATCCAGACTCTCCAATATAAATATGATTAGGTTCATCAGGAAGCAGCATGCATAGAACTTTGGATGTGCAAACGATTGGATCACCAGATTTATTGTTTTGTTTAGCTGCCCGACGTTTCTGAACGGAGAGGTCATGATCACTCTGGAAAAAATTTTCTGCAGAAGTCCCGATATGTGGACCATCCATTCGAATATTATTATTATTTTAAAAGCAACGAAGTTTCTTTGGAAAATTGAATTGAGGTTTTGCATAATTTTTGCATAAGATCAATTACTTAAAAAAAATAAGATCACTGCATTATGCATTGCATGCCACCACAGTACTACGTTTATTGGTAGGAATAATAATACTGTCATACCATAATGAAGAATCGGTCTTTGAGAAATCGGAAAAACAACTTTACGTTCAATCTCTAGCGGGGAGCAGGCATCTTCTTTTCCATTTTATCCGGATACCAATTATTCAATTAGAAAATCAATATACTGTATAACAACAATGCACAAAGCCAAAGACAAAACTTGATTTAAGCCACAAGACATTGGCCTCGGGAATGCATGCATGAATGATCGATTAAACCGGCCAAAACTAGCCAGTTGACGTGGCATAGTTGTGCCCTTCTGAGTACAAATGCGTACTAACGTCTCCAGCAAAAGAGGCGTCAAAACTTTCATCAAATCGAATTGCTTTAACTCGAACTCGTAATGATTGTTTAGCGCATGCAAAAAAAAAAAAAAAAAAAAAAAAAACAAAAAATAATTAGTAAGAACAATTCCATTTTCTGCGTAACACAAATGTTCCATTATGACTGATGCAATGTTTGTGTGTATAACTGTGAATGTTGAACAAGTGACAATGTTTGTCGTGTAATCAATAATTAGGAATTAAGTTTTGCTCGTCGTGGCTCGATTGTGTGGATGCCGAGACGAAACGGATCAAAGGTGTGTTTCAATCTCGAGTGGAACTTGCAGGTCCTAGCCACGAAGGGAGTCCAAAATATCCGGTTAGTATCAAATGACCATTCAGAGGATAAAGCTAGAAATATTCTAGAGGAATACCTTGTTTTTCATTGGAGACCGAAAAATTCCGATGACTGAACTGTCTTAGAAATTTGCTGATTTTTTAAGGAAATCGGTATTGTTAAATGGCGGATGGGATATAAAAGGGTGCGTTTTTCCTCATTGGGACTATCGCAACTTAATCAATATCAATTTTAACGTTACGCGACTTATTTGTGAAAGTTTCAAAGCTGGAAAAGCATTACCGTTTTGGTTTATTATACTAACACACGTTACAATCCTTTTAAATGAGCATTTGGTGTGAGGACGAAACTCCCTTGCTCAAAAAACAAACCCAATTTTTTTGTTAAAAAAAAAAAAATATTAATTTAACGCACTCGCCACACTCAATTATTCCCTTCCCTTTTTTGTAATAATATGGGCGAACACGAACAACGCTCCGCTAATATGGGAGTTACCTTTAATACATGGTTAGAGAAGGTTTGTTATCACATGACACTAAAATACCGTCGATTTTATTTAATCCTCCCCCACCTCTTCAATTCATCAGTTTCAAGAAAGGGTGGTAGAGTCAAAATGGACAAAGTTATTTGTTCTCGCATCAACTTTGCAACTCTGTTCGGTTATCGTATTAGAGTCTCGAGTGCTCGACCGGAATAATAGATTCAGAAAAACATTGATGGACAGTGGAAATACTACCTGCACCAAGCCTTCCATTGACCGCATGCTACTCATTGAGCAAGAAAACGCTATATTCATGGTTTTTCAACTCTTTCAACTTTGGTTTTGCTTGAATGCGGTAATGCATCATCTTGTTGATTTCGATCGCTTCGTCATTCAATTTTTTTTTTTTTTTTTTTTTTGCTTACTACTTCACTTTTCTTTTTTAAAACAAAATCCACCAGGTCTATAACCAAAATACATTTCAGGTAAAATAGGGTCAATCGAAAAACTGGGAGAATCAATTTTCATAATGTACGCTTCTCAACAATTTGTACATTCTAGATCATCACAATTGCCGTGATAAATTTTCTGTGCGGACTTTGCAGTATCGTAAGTTTTTTTTTTTTTTGAATAGGAACTCGGATTTTTCCCTATTGCGCATGTCTGATACGTAAAAATTATGTGTATCCACTCTAGGTTCAAATTCTCGAAATCAGAAAATGGAGTTCGGATTTGAATGCAGCATGTGGAGCGGTAGTACCTAATTTTGACAAAGATTTTGGTTCTTATGACGTACCGCTCGTGGTATGCTTGGTTATCTTTTCATTAATTATTGCGTTCCTTAGTTGGAAACTTTACCAGGTAAAAAAATTAATTCGACTTTTCCAATCTTGAGATGACTTGACTTCAAACGACCCCAATTAAACCTCAAAATTTTATAATTTCAAGCAATTCGGATGGAATATATATAAAAGAATAGGCGCAGACATTCGAATGCAGAGTAATATTCTTTATAGTCACTTCATTGTTAAATTTTTATGTCTCAACGCGCGATTATTGATGTGATTAATTTTTTCGACAGAAATATACAAAACCATACTCATTTTCGTCTTGTATCTAAAACTTGACTTATTTTTCATTCTGGTCACGGCTGTTGAAGTGTTTATGTCATTTAACATCGATACCCCTCAGACAAACAATTTCATTTTCGTCCTTCCTAAAGGTCTGTACTATTTCCACATGTTTGTAACGATAATGATCTTGCTCTTGGAAGTCCTTGCCTATTATGCTGTAAGTTTTTATTGATTTCGAATGCACCATGCATTGTTATTGGCGTCAGCTAAAATGTTGGTTATTCAAACAGCTACGAAGGGAATGGAAAATTGGAATGATAGTGTACCTTGTGCTATCATTGTGTACTGTCGTTGATTTTATAGTTCTTTTGAAGTTCGCTACGAAAACGATTACGCAAAGCTGGTACTTCTTCATACTACTCGGTAAGGATTAAATCCTCCTTATGACAACTTTTGTTAGGTTCTTCAGATTTATTAATTCATCACAATTTTTTCCAGTTGTGGTTGCCATAGTACTATCATTGGTGAGCCAAGAATAAATCTCTCCTTTTGTTAATTGATTTTCATCATGGACGCCTCATCTAATTCCACACATTCCACATTAATTTCTAGCTGACGTGGGTTTGGGCTTTACTAGTGACCAGGGATTTCGATAAAGGTTTTGCGAACCTTAGTAAGTTATATATATATATATAATTTTCGGCGAACAGATTTAATTTCGAATTTTATGTCGACAATCTAATGATAATTTTTTTCAAACACAGTTGAAGAAGGCATCAAGAAAAAGGAAACCAGAAAACCGATCATCATCGAAGATTAAAAATACAGCATCAAAAAAAAAAAAAATCACACAATTCTATTTATTTTGTATCATGGTAATTTTATTAAAAAACATCGTTTCTGACAGTAAAATACAGTACTGTACTTTGAATGATGATAGCCTCTTTAAATCTACACTTTAAAAAAAAAAATGCGACAATCAATATACATAACATATACGATATGATATATGGTATTGTCACCGTGCCATCGCAGAGTTGACTTTTTTTTTTTTTAAAAAAAATATTTTTTTTAACCAATATTTAAATGGATCGCTAATAGATTATTAAGCAAAGGTAACTTCTGCATATAAAATTTGTATTATAGAAAAACGAATTAAACATTTGTTTTTTATTTCAATTCCTTATTGTTAATATCAAAAGAATTTTATATTCTTTTGAAAATATTTTTTATGTATTCTTTTAATATATACTTTACATATAAATTTGCTTAAAATATTTAAATATCACGTATTTTAAAGAAACCAATAGAATTGATATTTTAATTACATTAGTCTATATAAAGAGAAATATTTTCGTAAAAACAATTCAATTAATTTATAACCTTAATTATTTGATATACGTAATTAATTGATTTATGATCTTAACCCGATCTAATTAAATTAAAAATAAACAAAATTTTCAAATGAATTTTAAAAATTAACAAATAAATTTTTTATACCATAACATTTTAAAGTTTTACATATCATTGTAATATAATTAAAATATATACTTATGCTTGTATTTATTATTTAAATTTAATTTAATTTTTACAAATTTTATATATTTATATAATTGTTATTTTTTAAAGAAAATAAAATACTATTAATGTTAATATTATTATTAACTATAAGTTTATTATATTAATCTATCTAATTATATAAATTTATACTAGTATAATTTTTAAATTACTCAATTTAAATTATTTAAATTTAATCATGCCATTATAAAAAAATCATATAAAATATTGTTTTCATAACTAATTCAGAAATGTCTTGATTATTCTTTTTGCTTTATATTAAAACAAATCTTTATATTTCTAAATTAAGGGCAAGAATATAATTTATTATTAAAATAACAAGTATTAATTATGTTTCTTTCAAAAGATATCAATATTAATGATACAAAATTCAATAAACTTGTCAAAAATCTATTATCAATTGTTACTACCTTTACAGCAAGACATAATATATTCAGATCTGTTGAAATTGAAAATGACAAAGATATGGATTTACCCAATGCTCCAAAAAAAAAAAGAAAAGCTAAAAAAGTGGACAGGAACTATAAGTGCTTCACAACTAAAGAACTCCTCTGGATAAAAGAGATCCCTAGGGAAGTATGTTCGTACGTAATTCGACAATTGATGACCATATACAAACAAACAAGAAGGTGCATGAAAATAATTTCTAATGAAATACCGATCAAAGAAGAATCAAACACAAACCATTTCGATTCTTGCTGGAAACTGGAATAGGAACAGAGGGAAATACACGTTCCTAAAAATATTATCACCCAGAACGATCACCAGATGTCAACAATACGATCAACATAACTATGAATCAACTGGAACATTTTTACTTGTGTTTCCATTTCTTTGGATATCATCGATAACCAAGATGATGCTCGGGAAAGGTAATCTCGCTCAATCCAGGTGTTCGCACGTTTATGCCCGGTTATGACCCTGACGGTCAATTAATCGAATGGATATGATGATTTTAATAAAAATATGACAAATTATAGGGCGATAAAGATTTTGCTTTGGGGAAGAACAAACAAGAGAAAGATTCCGTTGGTTATGTCAGAGTACAAGAACATTCTTTTACCCAAGTTCAAGTCTTTTGGTGAACAAGCGAAGGATTTGGTCAAAACTGCTCGTACAATCTAACTTGTCACATTTCAGGTTTCGGATGTTTTACATGTGGGAATTGTGGATTCGTAAAAAATGATCTCGGTGGAACAAAAACGTTTAAATGTGATTCGCGCGAGGTGGTGATGGTGCCAGAAATATCTTGCTCAATATTTAGCGGAGTGTCAGGTTTTAGCCTGACTTTAGGACTTGAACCTATATGGGATACGATATGCATAGCAAAGACTAGCTTTGTTACTCGTATTGGATTCAGTTTCAAGGGTGTGTGTGAGTCTTGGTTCAACCTGAAGTGCTTTGTTTACAAAAATGGATGTTTCCTTCCAAATCCGCAGTCGTTGCAAACATGATAATATAGGAAACTAAACGCTCAACTGTCAGTCGGTTAGTTTACCAAAGAGTGAACAAAGTCAACTTTATTTGCAGATGCGTTAGAAGGATAAGCACTACCAAATTAAGACTCAATGACCTATCTTTAATGGTTTTTCGCAGTCGAAAAGTATATTGTATAAATATGGCGGATTCAAACTTTATAATTCAAAAAAATTCGAATCAAACTCATAATAATCTCTGATCAAAAAAAAATGACAACTTTCCAACATTTTCGTTTTAAGAAAAACAAAAGAATCGTAAATATTCCCAATGGCATTGTCCCTTACATCATTGGAACCAAGAGAACTAACTGGAGGAGAATCGAGTAATAATATGTTTTTGGTTTTTATGTTCTTGGTTTTTATGTTTTCGGTTTTTTAATGTTGACAAAATTCATTATCTATGGTTATCAGAGATTTATCGGGTGCGAAAATTTTATTTAATTCGAAATCGGCAATAATCTCCGGAAACTACTTACAACAAGAGAAAGCGGGAGCCCTTGTTGAGGAATCAGTCTCAAGATTTAATTCTAAACCTGTGATTGGTTCCATCCTATTGGTAATAGATGATATTAATAGATTTAAGGATACCAAGTATCTGTTTACGGAATTTGTCGACAAAAATGAATGCATTAAGAACGAATTGCTTAGACAAAAATTTCAACAATATCTGATAAAAAGCATTAAGGAACCTAACAATGGTAGAACTATTGATGAACTTGCAGATGTTTTGGGGGGCAGAAATCTGGAAATTACGGACGCACCAAATAAATCCAATTCAATACGTCGAAAACAATCAGTATTTGATACCGCCGATAGATTAGATGAGGTTCTGAAGAACACACTCAATCATCTTAGTATAAAGCCCCTCGAGCCTGGACAGAAAATTAAATTTCGCGTATATTTTGGTCGCCAAACATTCTTCGGAGTTAACCCGCAAGCGATTCTCAGCGTGAACGATTTCCGCAAATTTTCAGAATATATCAGCACCACATTCGTTCATAGTTTGCCAAAGACTCATGAGAATTTAGAAAAGATTTGTGAAAGGTTTGAGTTAAAGCCGGATGATCCTAATGAAGAGAATGAAAGTATTAGTATCACTTTACTGGAGAATGATCAAAGAAAGAAGATAAAGCTGTGTCGGAGTAAAGAAGACGGTAATCTTTGAAATCTTATTTCACATGACATTTTATTGAAAAAAAAATACTTATCCTCTCTATTATAAATCAGGTTCATGGGAAATAGAGAAAGTTGTGAAAAACATAAAACGTGTTGGTTAGTTAGTTAACCTTCTTGCCTCTAATTAATATTTGTCGTTATTACATATATCTAAACCACCTTTTATAGCCATAATTAGTGTTATATCTGGATCCGAAATACCTGACTTGCGGTTTATGGTGAAGACAAAACGCGACATATACATCAGTCCAAAATTAAAGAATATTATTAAAGACTTGCAAACCGAAAGGCCAGTCCCAGACGAGAATGGCTTGCGGTTTAAATTATCTGATTTCGAGGGAAAACTCGACGGTGTTATTCACGTTAGGCAGAAGATTAACAAGAATTCTTATAGGTATGTGCTTACGTGTTATTAAAGTTTTTAACTTATCATGCTAACTATGGGATCTCTTTAAAAAAAGCAACGACAAATTTAAAATCACCAAGGTCACGGAAATCAGTGAAATGAAAGGAAAAGATCAAATCAAGACCGATTATAATGTCTCATTAAAAAATCTTCGCTGGCGAAAAGATAATCAAGAAGCGACCAAGGTGGGCTTCGACAACGATGTGGAATCGATTCGTGAAACTATTGAATTTGCCAGGGAGATTGCAAAGTCTGTTATTAACACCTAGAGTTTCTTTGATATCGAACAAATGCATTCACTTCGGTTTTTTTTTTCTATTTCATTAATTTCTTGTAAAACTTGTATATTTTACTGTATATTTATTTATTCGTGATTATGAACACTCCAATAATAATCGATTGTATTAAATACTATTTATTGAAAAAAAAATTTATATAAAAATATTATTGATTTTATTTTTGTGATAATTATTATTAGTGTTACGGGAAAATAACGATCGAAACATCGATCGCGCATTAGAGATTGCCTAAAAGGGTAATCGATCCTCAATCTCATTATTTTTATTATTTCTTTTATTTATTATTATTATTTTTTGCTACCATAAAATATAAAAATAATATAATAAATTGTGAAAAAAGAGAAAGAGATAGTAAAAAGATAATAAAAAAATATTTATCAAATAAAATCATCATACTTATTGTACTGTTTTTGATTAATAAAATTTTTTCAAATTATTTAAACTTATCAAATCTATAATTTTTTTTTTTTTTTTTATTTTTATTTTTAAGGGCTAAGTTGCGATACACGCGTGGATTTTATTGTTAAATCAGTTAAGATCACAATTGCCATACATGAACAGTCTATTAACTATTGCTAATATTAACT